TATGCGTGACGGTAAAATAAGTGGGAGCATTGCAGACCGTATGTACCAACCCATATCGTCGCCACAATATAGGCAGAGTCACCTTCCCTTATGGGCCTCCCAAGATCGGCCAGGGGGCGCTGCGCTGCGCGCGTTTCGCCGCCTTTCTAGCAAAAGTAGATCGCTCGGTACCCCGCTCTCGTCTTGTGCCCGTGCTATCTCAGCACGTTCACGCGCTCAACACACACTGTTATCTGTTCGCCCTCTACGCGCAGCGTCATCTGTGGCTTGCTTTGAAGGGTTTAAAAAATTATAAAAACATTTTAAGGTGTGAGTCTTATCTGAACCAAGAGCTAATGATTGACAGCCTTTGCAGGCCAAGCGAGCCAAGCACGTTGTATTTGATCGAGTGGAACTGGAATGTCGATGGTGAACAGGTGGCTTTCCATGACATTAAAAGTGAGGGGATGGCGCAAATTTTATATGCGTGTTACCGGTAAAACGCGCATTTGCTGCGGCATTGGTGTCTTGAGGTAGGAGCTGTCGGCAAACTACCACCACGCTTTCTTGTGCATTTGTATATAGCGTTCAGATTTCTATTTCTTGAATGCCAAGTTTGTCACGTGGCTTTCAGTTTAATAGAAGGTCAGTGTGAAGAGACTAAACCTACATCTGCCCTGTTCAGTCTCTAGCACGATTTCAATGCGGTGTGTTCAGTTTCATAAGTGTTTCGCTTTTGCCGATGTTTTCATCGCATATCAACAAGGTCGTATCGTAAGTTCAATGACACCTTTGATTTTTGCAGCTTTTTTGAAAGTGTAATGAAGCGCACAAAACAGTTTTTTTATGTCCACTTCTACCATGCACGTTTCTTGCAACGCATGTTTTATTTCGGATGATATCCACGCCTGACCACGCAGCGTGTTCACTGATTCAAATGTCGATTGGATCGTTATGACAGTTCACTAGGTCGTCGTCATATCACGGAATAACTACTACGGTTGAGCATGTTTTTTAATACGCCGAGATTCGCCCCTGATAACCACATCGACTTCCACGAAACCATCGAAAATTGTACATATGCCTTGGTTTTTTTTTCAAATGGTTTTCATAGCGGCAGCTGTATATCACCCGCGTCTCAGGCGCATGCAAATAATACTTTACGTGCCAAAACCATCATGTTGTTAGAAGGCATGCCGTGGTTTTAGACTCCGGATTGATTCCGGCTACCTGAGTTTTTTTTAACGTGGACTTGAACTTATTTGACGAGCATCATAGCACCGTACGCTTGAAATATTCAGCACCAACACGCCCTGACTATTATTCTTGCGCCAAAATCTGAGCGCACTGTTACTGCATTTCACTCCCGCGAAAGTGCAGCTGGCGTTTGTGGGAATCGAACTCATGACTTCTATCCTATCATCACAACACCTAATCATGTTAACTTAATAATGGGTGATGCTTGCAAGACCTGTACGAATAAACGCTTGGCGCGAACCAGCAGCAGAAATCTGTTCACATAAGCGTTGACGAGAAGTCTACAGCCATCATCTGAATAAAACACTTGTTCGGCTCACAGTACGGTACTTTAAGTGTACCAAGTTCTCAAGTTTCACCGCTTTCGCGCTACCAATGGTTGTCTCGAAAAGCCGGAGCCCAATAGTTAAATGTGCACTGGTTGTTTATTTGCCGTAGTTCCAGCTTACAAACACACTTTCTTTTATCATGAGTCCGGCCATCATGTTTCTTTCAGTTAAATAATAGTTTGCAGTACTGTACACAACAAGACATTCTCAAAGTACCGAGACCATGGAGTATCGGCGAAGTGGAGTAATCCACTCTGGACGCCTGTGCTTCTCCCACTGCTCGCATAAGAAATGATAAAACTTTACGGGCAGTTTTAAGGTCTTCGTCATGTTTAAACTTTTGTAGCAGCTCACAATTCAGCAGTAGTGCGTGCCTGCTTTCCAGAATGACGAAGGAGCGCTGCCCATAGCGTGCAAATGCGAGATAAGCGTTACAAGGAACACGTTTCCCGCGCGCAATGGGAAAACCCACCAAGTGCGGCCCGTCCGAGTGACCGGAACTTTGTCCTCTTTCCGCTAGGGCGGTGAACGGCACGGTGCAAACTTTAGCCTGTCCTTCCTATAGGTTCCCTAATATGGAAAAGGCGGCGGCTCCTCATCTCGTGCAATGGTTGTCTGGCACGGCGCATCCCCGTACTGGTACATCGTGTTGGTGATTCTTTCAAGCCATTCGCTCAAAGCTGGGTCCACACCGGTGCGATTACGGTATAGCTAAGGTTCGCCAACAAGCACGCAGCTACTAAGGTATGTGCAAACTGTTAGCGCGATTTCCATAGACCTCCAGGTATCCTGTAGTTGGTGGCTCGTTGTCACCACCGCCACCTGCGTATAAATGGGACAGCTAACAGCTAACAAAAAATAAAAGAATGAAATATGACTTCACAACCAAAAGCGGTAGCAACATTGTGCATTCGCCCTACATGGCACAAAATTTAAATTTTTGCTTGATTGCTGACCTTTTATGTACCGTTACAAATATGTGATTTTATTGCGGCTTATGCGTCGCTAATGCATGAGCGAGAGAAAAGAGAGACCAACACGAAAGATTGAGGAAGCAAAGTTGTTTTAATAGCCAAATAGTGTAGGTGCACCATACACGAAAAACTTCGCAGGTGAAATTGCGACAGATCTTCACACGAGCACAATAACATTACATTTCAAAAACTCCCATTGCCAAATCATAAAAAAACCACTCCAGTGAGGCAGCGGCCTTGAAAATATACCTTCGGCAACCATATATAGAATACCGCGTGCTGTTGCTCATCGTGTCGCGTTTACTGACACCAAAGGTGCACGGACAGACAGATGCACGGACGCTCAGATTGACCCGCGGCTGCATGGATGGATGGACGTATGCGCGAACGGACTGGTGGACGCTTGGCCCCACTCATTCCCATTAAGTCCGTAGACATGCTGTGATTTTTTTTAGTTGTGGTTATAGAGCCCATTCTCACATCGACGCGCTTCAAACATCGGCTGGTGTTGATGCCTGTGGCAATGGGTTTTCGACACCTTTCTGTCCAAATTTCTTGACCCATGTAGTTTGGCCATGCAGCTAGAACGCAATTGACGGAGCGGACGGCCGGAATCGCGGCAGTCGGAAGTAGACGGTGTCGGAGCTAACACAAGAAAGATCCAGCCCTGACAGCGTTCTTTGTTCGAACTGTTGTTGTTGTTGTTGTTCTCCTATTGTTAGTGGCGCATACCAACTGTGGGGGATCAGCCAAGAATCGAGTGGTTTTAAAATTTACTGTTCAGATTTGGAATGATGGAGGTATAACAGAAAGATTACCGATAGCCTAGGCAAGTGTGGTGTTTATTGTAAGGCATACAAATATTTACATAAACGAATTTATTCTTAGGATAGAGCACTAATCTGATTTTATACGTATATAATTATGTGGACATGTTAGGATAATGAAACTTGTTAATCAGTCAACCTATTAGTTTCATCAATATAGTCCCGGACGGCCGCGCATACTTTCCCAATAGAGAAACCAGAAATGGAAGTTCCAAAAGACAAAATGACAGGCAGAGATAAGTCCATACCAATACCATGCAATGGCATTTCTAACAGGGTTTTTCGTAATGTGTTAAACCGCCTGCAGGTCAAAAAGAAATGGTCTATTGTTTCCAGTTTATCACAGAATGCGCACAGTGGCGAAGGTGTCTGAGCAGACCTGCGTTTATAGAAATTTATATTTGGTACCCGGCAACGCAGCATTGTGATAGCTACTTCTTGTTTTCAAGTTCGACAAAAGTCTCTTTGCCAGGGATATAATTGACGACTTAGCTAAGGAATCGGCTATTTCCTTCAGAAACAAACCTTTATGTCCAGGCGCCCAAAGTAATCGTACTTTTCTCAAATGCGCAGGTACTAGTGCGATATTCAGACGACATTACGGCATTCATTACGACATTCAGAAACAGCCTTTATTTCCACTACGGAATCATTTTTTTGCTGCTAGATATCCGCGATTTCACACGCCACAAACTATATAAGTGCAAAATTTACCGGAGCCTCTAAACGTACGTATATGCGACATCATGCCGAGTCGTGATAATTGAACCTCGGTGGAAATTCAATTCGACGAAATTTTTCCTAATAATGCCAAATTACTTCCCCATAATATTTTGGATGGTTTACTACAAAATCACTTGCGCCGTCTTACAACGAACGTTATTATTGCTACAGACGCATCGCAATACGAAAAAAAGTCAGGGGTTGGTATTTTCAGCCCGATTTTAAATTGATTTGATTCCCTTAGGCTACCCGATTTCATACCCGTTTTTGTGGCTGAGTTTCTGGCAGTAGTGCTTGCCCTACGCAAGTTAGATACAGCAATTACATCAGCTGTCATAATACCAGATTCCCTATCTCTCTGTGCGGAACTTTCTGTTGGTGCTGATAATCACGTAACAAGGGCGTTCTGTGCACTAGTTCAAACTGATTCTTTATTATCGCGCTGCACCCGCCACGCGGCGCAATGCCCACTTCTTCTTCCTTGACGAGCGCCGCGTTCCGAGGCGCTACAACGGTGTTTCGCGCAGCGCGTCAGTGACGACGTAGGTTACGTGAGATGAGAGGGGCCAGAAGGCAAAGCGGCTTGGGAGAAGATACTAGTGAAGGGAAGCGCTGGGGAAAGTGAAAGGAGCGATTATTGTGGTTTTGATAATGAGACTTTTCCAACTCCGTCATTACTGCACCGTTTCGAAAACTTCTCACGGCACAGTGTCGGTCGTACACCCGTGCACAATTTCCCCACCACAACTGTGTTTGGACCTCTGGGTGGTTTACGGGCCCTTTAACGGTATGTGAAGACGGCTTGACCGGGCCAGCCGGATCGCAGCGGCGCATGCTGCCCTCGGCTAGCAGCGCCACTCTGCAGAACTTCACAGCAAAAACACAAAATATAGTTTTCTAGTGCTGCTTACCGATGCTCCTGATGCGAAAACCCCAAAGGAACAACTCTCGTGGTGTTTCGCTGTCCACACTGACAGAACCCGTGCAAAAGACATGCTGCGTGTAGCCGTCGACCTCGTCCAGAAGTCTGGAAGAGAATCGTTGATGAAACGGTAAGAAATATGTTATCACTCATTTGCAAGCAACAATGGCGCTATGCACTCTGCGATTGAAGAAAAACTTGAGGCGCTCTTGTCGTGTAAGAATTCCAGGCCTGAAGAAAGGCTGGATTTAGAAAGCCCTCTTGTCTTGTCTTGTCTTGTCTTGTCGCCTAGGAGATCTTGGCTCATACCCACAAGGGGGATTGGCCACACTGTACCTAATAATAAATCTTTTTTGTACAACGCTTGCTAAAAAAAGGAAGAAATTAGATAAGAACATTAATAATGTTCCTCTGAAGAAACGTGAAAACGTGCAGAAGAAATTGATAAACTAGAATATATAAAATAAATTAACGAGAATCAGGAAGGGGAACAAAGAATTGGATATATCTGGCAGTACCGCTAGCAGCGCATCCTTCTGGTTACCTGAAAGAATTTATGTAGCGCTGACAGAATAGCACTGCGGCCCGCACCCAACTGACTGGCTCCAAACTATAATAGGGTGGACACATTAACTGGCAATCCGAGCATACGAATCGGTCTCTCAAGAATTATTCGGCGCAGGGAGGCGAAGCGGCGGCGTGTGAGAAGAAAGTGATCTATTGTTTCTGGTTCATTGCAAACTGCACATAGGTTAGTTAATGAAAATCCTGATTTTTTTTCTATTCGGCCTTCTTCTTTCCTTTTGTCTCTCAGTTCTTTTTCTCCTTTTTTATCAGTCATTGTTTTTATATTTTGCTTTCTGTTTCTTTCTTCCTTGTTTCAATCTTTTTAGTTTCATGTGTGGTTTTGTCTCGGTCACGCTAAACGAAGTAGTATTTCTGATGCTTTTTTCGTAATATAAGAGCATCATCAAGGTGCTTCATTAACAAGAAGAGTTATTAGCATGAGCACACGCTTATTAGGCCGCACAATGAGTGCTGCGCAAATCGATGGCGTAACACCCAGCAGCACACGACAGCCTGACCCGCTAAATTACTCCTCGCATAAAATAAACCAGCTGTGAGACTGGGCCAGTCCTTCAGTTTTCTTTTCTTTCGCTTTATTTTGTTTCGTGCAAAGGTGCTAAAAGATGAATTAGCTCCAACTGGGTAGGTTAGCAACTTCGCTCTATAGAAATGTCACACCTGGGCACATTGGGTATGCCATGCTTGGTCCATCTCTCGCCAGCCAGTTGCCGCGCCACGAAATTCGCCGGGAAATGGGCCTGGTGTTCGAAAACGTGGGAAGATGTTTTGCACCTGCACAGAGTTGCATGTAGCTTAAGGCTGGTTCAGAACTTCGAAGAAGTACAATTTCATCAAACAAGACACAGGGTGGCAGTCGCTCATATATTGTACCCCTCAGACGATACTAAATGGTCTAACAAGAACACTTACACAAGACCAAGCTGAACTTGAACCATAGCACCTGCACGTGTGGTACATCTGCAAAAAAAAATAAGATAATGGTTATAAAATAACGCAACGTTTAATTTTTTTCACTTTATTTTCAATTCCAACATGATAAATCAAAAACTCTTTGGACCCATAGCCAAAGGCTAGAATAGGGTCCAATGATGCGATACAAAATGGCACAGTATCCAAACGATAGCACAAGGCAACAATAGCACATGTAGCAAAACAATAGAACAAGGCATTGAACAAGAATACAAGATGCAAAACATTGCGGATATAGTAAAGAAGGTTAAGCATTGTACAGACATATATATTCAGATACTCGAACTTGGGTAAGATAACAGAAACATGTAATTTTTATACACAAACAAAAGAAAAACAATGAGTAATAACAACTACGCAGTAAACTTTCACTAAACGTAGTGATACTTATATACAAGAATTGAACGATTTTGTTACTATTAAGGGGATTACGGAGACACATTAAGCATTATAAGGAAGTGTTTTTTTTATTTTCATAAGAAAGGTAACAGCCGATTTTATACCCTGGGGCAATCTATTCCTGATTTTGGTACCAACGAACTGCAGACGCCGTTCTCCGTAGACGTTGTTCGTGGGAGAAAGGTTAAATTTACCGGCAGCAGTATTCCTCATAGGGCGGAATGAGGAGCAAAGAATGAACGAATGAACAGGACGATTATACCTTATGATATTATTAATGGCAATGGCTGTTCTCTGTTGACGCAAACTGTTCATTGGTAAAATTTGTAGTTTACTAAACAGGGGGGCACTGGAATGATCGTGACTTGAGTGCGTTATTCTTTTTAGTGAGCGCTTCTGTAGTTTTCTTAAAGGCTCCAGGTATGTATTGATTGATTTGTGTGGTTTAACGTCCCAAAACCACTATATGATTATGAGAGACGCCGTAGTGGAGGGCTCCGGAAATTTTGACCACCTGGGGTTCTTTAACGTGCGCCCAAATCTGAGCACACGGGCCTACAACATTTCCGCCTCCATCGGAAATGCAGCCGCCGCAGCAGGGAATCGAACCCGCGACCTGCGGGTCAGCAGCCGAGTACCTTAGCCACTAGACCACCGCGGCGGGGCAGGCTCCAGGTATGTAGTGTAAGCCGAACCTCATGAATCAATACATTAGGACAGATAAGAGTGGATGAGAGAAAAGTACAATATCCGTGATATAGCAAGGTTGAAATAATTTCTTGCTTGCAACAATGCATGACAGCCCGATGATAATCTTGAGCACACTGATTTTATATTGGGTTGCCAGTGGAAATGGTTGTCGATAACTGCACCTAGGTATTTATATGAATTGATGCGTTCCAGTGCATATTTATTTATCTTTATTTAAATGCTGTGTAGATTTATTGGCATATGTCGGGAATAGATTATCATGTACTTTCTTTTTTTCGCGTTGACGGTACCTTTATTGGCCTTGAACCAATGTGATATATTTGCTAGTTCAGCATTTGGTTTTGTTTCAATTTCTTGCATGTTTTCCCCCGTAACAATTAAAGCTGCATCATCCGCGTACAATAGTAGCTCTGCAGAGTTAATAACCAGTGGTAGGTTATTTACATATATTATAAAGAACAAAGGGCTCAGGAGAGATCCCTGCGGGACCCCTGTGCTTATCGGTTTTTGCAAGAAAGTGATGCCACCTAGAAAACAATTTAACTACGATGAGTGAAGTAGCTGGAAAAGAATTCAAAGCTTCGTTTCTAAAGCCATAGTTATTTTTTTAAGGATGCTAGGGTCGATAGTGTCGAATGCCTTTTGTAGGTCAAGAAATACAATAGAAACTAGTTTATGGCTATTTAAAGCTGTGTTGACATTTTGTGTCAATGTTTGAACTGCAGTGGAAGAGAATATCCCGGACGGAAACCATGCTGTTGCGGGCATAAAATTAGATATTTTTCCAGAAATTTTTTGATTCGAGAAGAAAGTAGCGTTTCGAAGATGTAATTTATTATACTGAGAACTGATATCGGGTGGTAACACGAAGGGTCATAGCGATCACCGTCTTTAAATACTTTGGCGACATTTAGAGGATCAGGGTAGGACGAGGTTGCTAGAGAATGATTGAAAATGTTGCACTAGGTGGGGGTAATATGTCTATGTTATCCTTGATCTGATGGACTGTGATTCCATTCAGCCCTGGGGTTTTGTTGTTACACAATTTTTTTCACGGTAGATAACAGCTCTCCTAATTTTATGTCATGAGTAAAGAAGGTGTTGGGTATGGAGCTGGCTAAACACATGTAATTAGAGTCAGGATGACTAGATACCAAGGACGGGCCAATACTAGTGAAGTATGAATTGAAGCTTTCAGCAGTTTGTTCGTCTATTGTTAAAGGGAGAATACGATGCGCTCTAGAGTTTCCTACAACTCCTTGTACAAATTTCACTATTGTTTTGTATCCCCATTCGCACGTTGAATCAAGCTGGGGTAGTAGTTCTTGCGTACGCGGATTATTGCCACAGATTCATTCCGTAACCTTTTATACTGCCATAAGTAATAATGATTATGTTTATGCTGTTTTCATTTTTTGTACCAGAACTGTTTTTTCTTCAAGATAGCAAGAATGTCTTGGGTCATACAAGGGCAGATCGGGACGTTATAAGAGCGAAAAGATACGGTACTACTAGCGTTACTGATTGCAGTCTTTATAGTTTCGAATAGATTGGCAACCTCAGTATTTACATCATCATGGTACAGACTGTTTGGTACGAGAGATAGAAGTTCGTTTCTTAATAGGGTATAATCTATTTTTATAATGACAGGGTGATTTTAGGTGCAGTCTTGGACAGGTCTATAACCGAAATACAAATAGGAAGGTGATCAGAGATCGGTTCGTCATACACACTTGCATTGATCAGGGTGGATATGTTTGTCAACAAGTGATCTATGATCGTCGCTGAGGTGCTAGTTAAACGTGTGGGTGTAGAAATCAAGATTCGAAGATTGAAAGAAGCAAGCAAAAACTCGTAATCAGAAGACGCTATACTGCAGGTATCATGATTGAAGTCTCCCGTAGTGACAATGGGAGTGCTGTAGTTTGCCGCAAGTGTATATAGCGCCTTTTCAAGAATATCTAGAAAAGAAATGTAAAATGAGTTCGGAGCACGGTATATGATTCGTATGATAAGAAAACACTCAAATTAAATGATCAGTGATTCAATATCTGCGCAGCTGCATGTGACAGATTCTGGTTTCGAAAACGAGTAACCTGATTTTACAAAGACGGCCACACCACCACCACGCGTGCGTGACTCTCATGGATTAGAAATGAATGTGTACCCATCGATGTTTCAATTTTTGCCCTTTTTTAGCCATGTTTCCGTCAATGCTATAACATCGACAGGCTGGGCATACATAGAAAGGAAGCACCGCCGCGGTGGTCTAGTGGCTAAGGTATTTGGATGCTGACCCGGAGGTTGCGGGTTCAAATCCCAGCTGCGGCGGCTGCATTTCCGATGGAGGCGGAAATGTTGCAGGCCCGTGTGCTCATATTTGGGTGGACGTTGAAGTACCCCAGGTGGTCGAAATTTCCGGAGCCCTCCACTACGGCGTCTCTCATAAATAAATGGTGGTTTTGGGACGTTAAACCCCACATGTCATCAACATACGTAAAAAGGAACGCAAGGAGCAAGTTCAAATTCTTGTTTAAACTGCGGATGTTCGTGTAGAAGACAGGGATATTGTTGTTTTTAGGTACTTTGTAAGGTGGGATTACAGAGAGTGGCATGATGTTGGTTATAGGAGTACCAGTAGTTGCAAACCTCCATTTATACTATTTTCATCGGGTCGTCATTGCATGTGACGTGTACAACTCTCGCGTTTTCGGACTTCTGCATTAGAATTTTTCCTTCAGCAACCCATGCGAATTTCCAGTTCCTTTCCCGTTTGCACTGGATAGCTTTTCCGAGCAGAATTTTGTTTTCGGGACACAACTTGACCTTCACGTATACTTGGCTATCTACTTGGTAACCCAGCCGGGACGCATTCAGCCGCTTTTTTTTTTGCGGCAAACAGAAGCATGTCACGGGTAGCTCGAGAGTAGAATTTGACGATTATATTTGTCAGCCCACCCCCTTTTGGGGGGACACGATGCACCACATCCACGTCATGATCCGAAAGCGGAACACTCAGGCAAGTGGCCACCTTATGTAGTGTTTGACCGAGGTCTTCCTTTTCAGTTAACGGTACTCCTTTAGGTTCTAGATTAGTCCGCCTGGAGTACTGCTTCAGGTCTACAATTTTTTCTTTGCATCTCCGAGTTCCTTCACCAGTTGATGACGTTCCCTTTCGTCTTCAAGACTGCGCTTTCATAATGTAACATGTGAGCAATAATCAAGCCGGAATCTACGCCTTTTCTCTTGTTTTTTTAGACACTAATACCGCATTGTCTGAGCTGACAATAGTACGCACTCTTAGGTTGGCGTACGGAATACTTACGTACGCAGCACGATACATTGCGTACACTGCATGTGAAGCACTCAACAACACCTTTGGTTTTACCGTATTGACCGCAAGATGGTGTATCGGCTAGACAAGTATCATCGTCATTATCATCATCATTATCAGCCTAACTACGTCCACTGAGGTACAAAGGCATCTCCCATGTTCTGTTGGTCAACTCGGTCATGTTCTTGCTGCTGCCACTTTATACCAGCAAACTTTCTAATCTCATCTTTCCAACTAACTTTCTGACTCCCCGTCACCCGCTTGATTTCTTTAGGAATGCAGACAGTTACCCTTAATGACAAGCGCTTATCCGGCCTACGCTCTACATGCCCAACCTATGTTCATTTCTTCTGTTTGATTTCAACTAAGATATCCTTAACTCTAGTTTGTTACCTGATCCACTCTGGTCTGTTAGTCTATCTTAAGGTTACACCTGTAATTTTTCTGTGCATCCCTCGCCGCGTCATCCTACACTTTTGCTGAACCCTTTTTGTAAACCTTGGTATCACGACTGCTCTGGTTGGGCCGTTGGGCCAAAATGATCCGTCAGTGTATATATGTAAAGAGTCTTGGTATTTTTATACAAGAGAAGTAGTGTGAGCTGCTTAAGAACCGGTGACGACAAATCGGCTTTTTTTCTGGACGCCAGGACTTGTGATATAATAATTGATTGAGTGAAGCACCATGGTGGAGTCACGGGTCTAGCGGCAGGAAAGAACGAAGTTAGGATTGACTCGCCATACGCGGTCACTGTTTTGCAGTAAGTTGTGCTTGGTCGGTCTAAAGGTAGACATGCCAGGTGATGGTTCGAGCAAGGCGTCGTATATGTGTCCACAGCACTTCAACATTCATGGGGGTCTTGATGAGATGGTCCCTTGTCATGGCTATAGTTGCCGCTGTTGATGCACTTTGGGGCAAGCCTAGACAAGTCGGGAGGGCTTGAGCTTGGGCATTCTGAAGCATTCGTATACTTGTTGAACTTGCGTTGGTTAACACAGGTTGGCTGTGCCAAATGAATCGAAAAAAAAGAACGCTTTATAGTCGCAGAATAGCAGCTGTGGACATTCCCCAATTTTTCCAGTGAAGAACTTGAAGAAATGACACATGCTGTCAGCCGCCTTTTCATGTATGATACATGTGGGCTCAATGAGAGGTCTCTGTCAATTGTAACATAAAGGAACTTCTACGATCGGAAGTAAAATGTCCTTTCGCTGTTTATTACAACGCTGTAGTTCTGCATTGGTTTGCGCGTAAATGCCCCATGTGCACATTTCTCAGGAGAAATTTCCAGGCCTCATTTACGGAGGTAAATAGCAGCTTGAGTGGTAGCTCTCTGAATTCGCGCTCACAGCTGTAGACGTATTGCTGCAGACGTCCGAACGCAGATGTCGTCCGCGTTCATTGACAATCTGGCAGTACTTGATTTTACATTTTCGTTAGCGTGCGCTAGAACAGGGGAGTGCTAGGAATGGCCGCATCACCACTGTATAGAGAGGGAAGCCCAAACAGAGTCAGTTTGCCTGGCGACGCTGGGGTCGGTAGTCTGCAATCTTCTGTCGCTTACGCGTTGCAACTGGCTCCATGAAAGTGTTGCAGGGACGAGAAGCCCATTTCCCTTTGGAAACGTCCGCGTTCCCATCACAGCTGTAGATGTCTAGTTTAGTTTTATATTTTAGTTTAATTTTCAAGTGCAAAGAATCATTTATTAGCGACCTTCGGCGACTTTGACCGTATCTATCTATCTATCTATCTATCTATCTATCTATCTATCTATCTATCTATCTATCTATCTATCTATCTATCTATCTATCTATCTATCTATCTATCTATCTATCTATCTATCTATCTATCTATCTATCTATCTATTTATCTATCTATCTATCTATCTATCGATCTTTCTATCTATTTTTCTATCTATCTTATATGACTCTATGGTGAACGTGAGTGACGTGCCATAACATGGAAATCAAGACATCTCTGTCATGAAGTTCAAGATATACATTTCATGGTCTTGCTGCTTGCGCGGTGATTTCATTCATTTGATATGTTGCAAAACATGTATCGTGTGGTGTGACTGCATGACGAACACAAGCTACAGACGTTAACATGAAATTCCTTACATGCGTGTCATGCAACAACATGACTACATGCCAAGCTCATGATGCACTCGCGGCCGTTTCGCTAGCTTCACAGATAGCGAATTGGGTATTACGGAGACCTGAATGAACGACAAGACAAAGGTAGTGACTGCTGCAAACATGATAATCATGAGATGCATGTAATGTATTAACATGACTTCATGCCGCACTCAGGGTGCCCTTGCTGCCATTTCGCTAACTGCATATATAACAAACTTGGTGTTACGTCACGTGAGTGGATGACGAAGGTATGTGACTGGTGCATACATGATAATCATGAGATGCGTGTCCTGTAAGAACATCACTACATGCCACACTCAACATATTTGCACAGCACAAGACTACGAGTAGTTACGACGCAACTACGTAAGAATATACGAGGACAGAAACAACGCTCTTTCTGTCCTTGTCCCTTCTTCTGTAGTTGCGTCGTAACTACTCGTAGTCTTGCACTGTGCAAATATGTTCACTCCCAATCACCAACTAGCCCAAGCGTCGTCTGTCTTATTATGCCACACTCAGCATGAGGTCGCCAATGTTTTGCTAGCTCCGCATATACCAGATGAGGTATTACGTGACATGAATGGACTACGAAGATAAATGATATGTCCAATGATAATCTTGGCATTCGTGTCATGTAAAACATGACTACATGCTACGCTCATAGCGCGCTCGGGGCAGTTTTGCTAGCTCAACATATACCAAATATGGTATCACGTCACCGTAAATAGACGACGTAGGTAAATTACTCGTCCAATCATGATAACCGTTGCATGGACACCTAGTACGGCATATTTACGTCCACCTCGTAACGTTGAGCTGATTTCAAGGTGTCATATCAACCCACCTCATTTGTGCTTCGCATATCATTGATTACCACTGTACGTGGGATCTGCCATTTTTGTAGCTGTATTTGTTTTTTCTTCCTTAAAACTATCTTAAGTTGATGCGCATTGTTACAAAGAGCACTTTAATATGTTAAGTAAAACACAAGAAATTTTACACCGAGTGTCTGTATTTGCAGTGCTTCCTCACGGAATTCAACAAAAACTTGAAAAATAGCCACCAATATTTCTCAAATTGGCGTAAATATTGAAGCAGTACTTCACGTTTCTGTTTAATGCCATGTAGAAGCGGTTCAAATGATTGTGCTCAGTGTTAAATTTCACATATTTGATTTTACATCTGAAGTTACTTTTTGTTGCATTACCTATTAACTGAATTTAGATTTGAAAAGCTTTCTAGGCTCTAACTCCCGAAAATATAACTCCGCGTGGTGCATTCAGCCAAAGTCGCACGATTATTTTTTTTTTTACAACTGGACCCACTTGGACTGAGACTAACACCTCAGTTTCGATGAGTTCTGATTGCGTTGACTCATGAGTTAATTTCTGACCTATGTCTCCACACCACACAACATATGTGCGTTGAGCCTGCAGAATCACGGCACGGAACTTGTTACGAGCTTAGCTGCGCGTCCGTATATCTCGTTGCAAAACATCGTATCAATAGCCGGAATTCAAATGTCTGAAGCTTAGAGTTTCTTTGTCCCTTAGAACCGAATAAAAATGAGTGAAAGAAAACATTGAGCTTTTGCCTTATTAGGCAACTGAAGTGCCCCGGGCAGACTGGAGGAACACCACAATAAAGAGGAACTTGTGATCATGACATGGATCTCCTATGAGTTTTGGCAGCGTAAGTTTCACCGATCGAGACGTTATCACGCGTAATTTTTGTTCCGTCGTGAAAAACGTTTGTCTGCAGGGTTCTCTCCCACCAGCACTATATATGAAAGGAAAAACGTTCAAGGGTTACGATCTTTTGTCAAATGGGCCCTTACCTGAGCAGTCCATTGAAAGCGACTCTCCATCGGCGCATCGGCACCAGCTGTTCCAGTCGCAAACCTGAGGCAGCATACACACCTTGCTGCGAAGAGTCAGTGGTGCTCTGTCTGCCTGATGGCAGCACATAACTATGACCATCGGCAGTCCGCAGGTAAAGCCACGCTTCAGCCGTTCTCCTGGAAGGCTGACGGCGAACGCGAGCCAGCAGGCACTCGCCGCGCTCAGTGCTGGCCCAGATGAGCATCTCATCGTCGACCTCCTCGCCGCACTTCTCTCCGTCGTCACCACCGTGCAAGCGCTGCAAACAATGACACAAATAATTTCCCGCTCAAACGAGCGCTGGAATATGAGGCATTATGTTGCGGACCTTATTTTTAGTGTATGCCATTTACAATGAACATGTTTATTAATCTCTCTTAGACAATGAAATAATTGAAGCTTAGAGCTAAATAAGTTGTCAGGACATAAGTATTTATGGCTGACTGACTGCATAATTGAAGGGTTTGCTTTCTTACTATAGCAGTGATGGCGCGCACAAACTCCACGATCTAAACGCTCTTAGATAGCCGTAATAACTTTTCAGTATTAAGCATGAATAACAGTACGAAGCATGGGAGAGAGAGAGAGAAAGATAACACTTATTGCACACGTCTAGAATGACGGGGAGGAGGCTTCGGCCTCTGCCCCCAATCATCCCCCTAGCCATCGGCCGGAATCCCTTGGGACTCGGCGGCGGTCAGGGCGAGACCGATGACTTGACGCTGTTCTTCGGCGTCACGGCTGTGTAATAAGGCCTCCCAGGATTCTGCGTTTCTACTTGGATCATTGTAAGATGGGCAGGTCCATACCATGTGCACTAAACCCGCAGTGCTGTTGCTGTGCGCACATCTGGAGTTGAACACTTCCGGGTGCCATTTACTGTACAGGTGAGGGTTAGAAAACAACCCGGTTTGCAATTTTCGCCACATAATTTCCTCCTTTTAGCTCCACTGTTTATCTGCCTCTGAATAAATCTTACGGTGGAGTTTATAGTGTGCGGTGATTTCCTGAAACGTTCGTAGTTCGTCTCTTGTGGAGAGGTGCTGCTCGCGCGAAGGCGGTGGGTCAGCGTCGATCGACCGGAAAGTGAGCACTCGGGCGATCGCGTGCGCCTTATCATTCCCCTTGAGACCTTGATGGGCCGGGGACTATACTAGTGAGATTAGCTCTGCGAATACTCGTCCTTGTCTTAGAATTTTGGCGGCTGTAGCAGAGATCCTGCCCATATCGTAGTTTTTAATGGCTGACTTAGAGTCGCTAACAATCACTCGTGTGCCGTTTTGAGCTATTGCCAAACCAATCGCAAGTTCTTCTGCCTCTGTGGTGGTTGTGTTCTTAGAGGTGAAGCATGAGACCAGGTCCCCGTTCTCGCGAACCACTACCACTGTGTGTGCTCCCTTTCTTTCGTATTCTGCAGAGTCCGTGTAAAGCACGCCAGATCGACCTTCAAGTTTCGCCTGCAGGGCTATAGCTCTAGCTTTGCGTCTGCCTTCGTGAAACGCCGGATGCATGTTTTTCGGCAGTGGTATAATTTTCAGTCTTGGCCTAGTTGATTTAGGTATGCTAGCGGTCTACCTGGAACACTGCGTGGGCTCGAACCCCAAGCGCTCCATGATTTTTCGTTCGGTTCTACTTTTAAGAAGTCTTTGGTGCTGTGACATTATGGCGGCTACTATTAGTTCATCTAAAGTGTTGTAGACACCCAGCCCAAGAAGTTCGGGGGAAGCCCTAGCGCCGTCTTGATGCCTTTCCTTATTATGGCTTCAATTGTATCTTTTTCTGCTCTACTTAATTTAAGATAAGAGGCAACGTATAGTACACGGCTTATCACAAAAGCTTGAACTAATCTTAAAAGATTGGGTTCCTTCATCCCCGCATTCTTGTTTGAAATGCGCTTAAGCAGGCGGCACGTCTGGTTCGCACTAGCTTCGAGTCTCCGGATAGTTTCACTGTTTTTTCCATTTGCATGTATGCGCATCCCTAGAATTCTAATACTGTCTACGGTTGGAATAACATTACCATTCACTCGCAAAGCGATGTCACAACCCCTTCCGAGGGGATTGTTTGTTTTCCTTTTTTGCGATGGTAGAAAAAGAGCCTCTGATTTTTCTGCCGAGCATTTTAACCCTAGTGGTTCGAGATATTGTTCGATGGCATCTATAGCCGCCTGAAGTGCGCTTTCAATATATCCGTCGCTACCCCTGTTTAGCCACAGCGTCACATCTGCGTATATTGTGTGATGCAGATTTTTTACTCCTTCCAACTTCTCAGGAAGTCCAATCATCGCTATATTAAAAAGAGTCGGAGAGCGTACAGACCCTTGTGGCGTCCCTTTATTCCCCAATTTAATGTTTTCGAGCGACTGCCCTCCCATTGTGATAGTGGCTGTACGATTTGAGAGAAAGCCCCTCACGTAGTTGTATGTCTTGACGCCTACGTTTAGCGCACTAAGGTTCTTAAGTAAGGCTTCATGTTTGACATTGTCAAACGCCTTGGAGACGTCCAGACCCACAATTACTTTGGTGTCAACAGTCTTTTTGTCTATTATCTCCTCCTTTAGCTGTAGCATAATATCAAACGTTGATAGGTGGGATCTGAAGCCTATCATAGTATCAGGGTACAGGTTTTCATCTTCCATGAACCTAGACAGTCTTCTTTGGATGACGTGCTCCATCGATTTTCCTACGCAAGATGTGATGGAAATGGGTCTGAGATGTTCAAGACTGAGCTTTTCCCCGGCTTAGGTATGAATACTACATTGGCCGTTTTCCAAGCTTGTGATATTTCTGCCTTGTCCCAGCATTCTTGCATATAAGCTGCAAGTTGACAAATAGAGCCGTCGTCAAGATTCCTGAGCATTCTGTTGTTGATTTTGTCCGGACCGGCAGCCGTTTTTGTTTTCAGACGGCTAATTTCAGCCCTAACTTCTCCAACCGTGATGGGGCTGTCTAGGTCCGGGTTTTCTGAACCAGCGTAGTCAGGGAGCTTTTGCGACTCTGCGCAGCAGAGGTATCAATCCCTAACCTCCGGTAATAATTCCGTCGTCTGACCTTCATATTTGTACACAGGATTTTGAAGTTGCTGCCGGGCCTCCGACTTGGTTTTCTCTGGGTCTAATAGATGCCGTAGTAGATGCCATGTTTTAGCACTGCCAATCTCTCTATCCATCTCATCACAGATACTACCCCACTTTTGCTTGGTAAGTTCCAATGCATAATCTTTGATCTCTCTATTCAGTGCAGCAACTTCCTTTCGTAGATTCCTGTCTCCTCTTTTCTGACTGATTTTTTGCTCTAGGTTTTTCTGTTTCTTCCACATGCTTACAAGATGTCTATCAACAACTTCCTCATCGCCAGCGTCAATCTCTTCGGTAGCGTGCTGAACCGACTGGATCACCCCTTTACTCCAATCGTTAATATCATTTATGGGGTCTTCTTCCGACCTGATATTTCTAAAGGTCACCCAGTCTATAGTTTTAACTTTACTCTTATTGATCACCAGCTGGCCATTGGCTACGATAATCTCTAAAATTCTATGATCACTACCTAAGTCTTCGCCGGTATTGCACCACGTGGCGGTGGTGGCACTGATAACCAGGGTAAGATCTGGCGTCGTGTCTTGAGATACGCTATTTCCTTTCCCGGTTGGCTGCATTGGGTCTGTTATAAGTATGAGCTCATGTTGTTGAATTTCATTCCACAAATTTCTGCCCTTAACCCGGGTGAATTTATAACCCCATGCCATATGATGCGCATTAAGGTCGCCCAAAATCAATCGTAGACCGTTTGCTGAAATAACCTTTGTTTTCGTGAAAAGATCACCGCAGTTGATTTTGCGCTGCCTGGGGAACTATACACATTAAGGATAAAAAGACTCTTGTCTTTGCGCTTTCGAGGCACGAGTTCGACTAAAACATGATCGATCTGCGAGTTACCCGTTACGGGCTACAATGTCATAATGTTTTTCTTTACGAAGGTCGTAACTTAGGTATCATTACCCGACCCGGCAAAAGATTTGTAACCTGTTAATTTTGCATTTTTCCCACACTCCTGGATCGCAATAACCTCCGGTCGATCGGCGTTGGTAAGAAAAGATTTCAAAACCGCACGTTTGCGCGAGAAACCCCTACAGCTCCACTGCCAAATCGTATTAGTGTAAGGATGCAGAGCCATCATGGTTTAGCTTGAGCGCTTGGCATAGCCATTCTATCTGTCGGTCGCTGCTAGCAAGTTCAGCCTTAATTTGCTCAATAGCGTTGCCTACTTGTTTCATCTGTTCTCTAGTACAGCTTAGAGCATACCTTGTAATGACTTTGTTTCCACCCCAAGCGCTTCAATTTTTGCTCCATGATTTTCTTTAATTTCGGTTTCTTTAGCCCTATTCTTCTTCAAAGGCGATTGGTTTGCTACCTGGGGTGTTTCCAGCGCCTTCCCTGGTTTGTTGGGTAAATGAGCCTTAATCTCATCAAGATGTTTGCGTAATTCCACATTTTGCTCCTGTAATATCCTGTTTTGCTCTTTAGGAGCATTAATCATCTCTGTATTAGCATCCTGCGAGACCTTAGTTACCCAACCCACCTGTGGTCCTGTGGATTTTGACTTCTCCTGGGCACAATCCCCACCATCATGGGGTGCCTTGTGAGAAACTCCCGGCTTCTCCAGCGGTGTCAATTGGGGGAAAAATTCCGAGCGCCCTCTCGATCTACTTCGATGCTTGGATTTGCGCCTCGAACGATCTTGAACCCCGTCTGGCCTGCTGTGGCGCTGCGTGCCCTCTTCGGCCTTGCGTCGTTCTTCTTGCCCCCGCGCTTCTTCAAGCTTCATTTCCCACTGTCGCTTCTTCACTATATAAGGTGTCCGAAAAAGTTCTTAGCACCTCTTGTCTCCATTCACGTGCTCCTTGCCACACAGACGGCACCTCGGCGTACATTCATGGTCGTTGGGTGGGGAGGCCACCCCACAACCTCTGCATTTTTCGTGCGGGCTGTCACATACGTCGGATCGATTGCCCAGCTCACCACACTTGTAACACACTTCATATCTCTTCTTGTAGAGAAAGGATTTTAACGGCGTCCCGAAGCAGATCATCTATCTCGACACGTAGTCGTCAACAAAGGTGATGATTACCGAAGTGGAGTTGCCCATCTTTCGCACACCAAGAATAGGACGATTCTCTTCGTGTAAGAAAGCCAGTTCCAACTCTCTCTCAGAGAGTCTAATATCAAGTCCACGTACCACTCCTTTGCCACAGCTTTCAGGCGCTGCCATGTATGTCTTCACCTCGTACTCCTTGCCGTCGAGCTTTAGGACTTTCAGGTCCAACATTTTCTTGGCATCATCCTCCCTGGGCGTACTGTATATCAATGTTCCTTGCTTGTCGTCAATAACGATCGTGTCCTCCTCCCGACCTTTCTGCCATGGAATGCCTGCTGCCATCCTTACTGCTACACCAATCACAGGTGCCGAGCGTCTGGTGAGCGTCAGTCCTTCTTTGGGCCTGATAATAACCTTGTGATCCGTGTTCGAAAGACGCGGTAGATGCGACGCTACTGACCGCTCCGCGAGCTTTTTTCACGCCGCCTTATATGAGGGTCTCCCGCTTACACCATTCTTGTTGCCATTGAAGCCGGCCGGCATCGTCCTGCCTTCTTTTCCGCATCCACTGCTGTTAGACGCCGCCCTGGTGGCCCCATCGCGTTCCCGTTGTTGACTCTCCTGGAGCTCCGCCACACGTTTCGACACTTTCGTCACCGAGTCCGAGCTTTCCGATTCCTCTTGATCGGCATCTCTACCATTAACAGTCACTTCCATCGTCATAGTGCCTCCGCAGACGCTCTACGAGCCGACGCCTGGAGCCTCGAACGCCAATATGACCGCTTCGGTGCTAGGCTTAACGGTGGAGTTGGCCAGACGCACAACGTAGCCGAACACCGAAGACGCAATAAAATCCTTTAAAATCTACTTACAGTTTTCAGAATGGTAGCCACAAGAACCTGAGCACGTCCGCAACCACACACAGCACTTTAGCAGCTGGCTGTTGTTCTTTCCGGGTGAAAAAGTGGTCATTTCACGGAGCCGACGCGGAGCCGTGTCTCACGCCATTGCGAGCCTCGCGCGTTACCTACGAAGCATGAAAAAACTCACAACATTTTGGAGTCAAGGGTGATTAGTGGGGCCAAGTGTGCGTCAGTCTGTGCGTGCTACCGTCCATCCGTTCATTATTGCTTCCAATCGTCTGTGCATCCGTCCATGCGACCATTCATCCGTCCAGTCCATGCGACCATTTGACCGCCTATGTGTCCGCCCGTCCAGGCGTTTGTCGGCCTGTTTGTGTGTCCGTCAATCCATGCGTCCGTTCGTCCATCCGTCCGCTTGTCGTTCTGTCTGTCTGTCTGTCTGTCTGTCTGTCTGTCTGTCTGTCTCTGCATCCGTCCGTGCATCCGTCCGTCCGTCTGTACAAGCATCCGTTCGTGTGTCCACGCGTCCGTTCGTCCGTCTAGTGAACAGTCCAAGTACCGCCATCTCGCATATTTCCATCATATATGGAAATATGCGAGATAACGAGACGTGGCGACTTGCTGCTACTACTACTACAATTACTACTACAACATACATCGGTGAGGCTTGACCCACGGCTTAAGGAGCTTCATCCCTAAAACAACTTAACTGTAGCGCCTTCATCATCATCAGTCATCAACATCATCACTTCTTAACACAGTGCTGTGGCCCTTGCGCTACTTGTGTTGGGAAATCGAGGCACGTGCTGAAAAAAAACCCGTCTTTGCGCCTGGCGGCTAAGCCGCAGGCAATTGTCGTCACTCCGCTTTGATGCTGGAGAAGAAAATGGCGAGATTCCACACGTCTCTCTGCATCTCGCTACAAGTGGTGACCCGAGGAAGGCGCCCTTCGTCGAGCGGCCCATTGCCATGAACTCGCGATGCTGCTAGCCATCGAAGCCTTTCCACCCGGACTACATCAAAGTATGGTTCATGCAGCTTGACGCTCTTCTCGCGCTTAATAGTGCTGCGGCACAACCGTATGCACGCCATTCTACTCGATGCCCTACCGGTGGAGCTGCGTCACCGCGCTGCCGAATCTACATTCAGGCCACTGCCATACAAGATGCTGTCTGCTGCGGTGCTCGCCTGCTACGGCCTCACCTACCGCCCACATTCGTGGGCTCGTGACTGCGATGATGAAGAAAAATCCTGAAGACCACTTGTGTTGTCCGCAAAAACATAGAGCAGGCCGTGTATACCCTAAAGAACACGCACGCAGACAGCCCGCCTGTGGCCTAACCCCACGCTCTCCTCCACTTACTGATTCTGAGAGTATACAGCGGACATGACTTCCAGTTTTTCCAACAAGACGCGCCAAACCATGACTGATAGCGCCATATATATCCACAGCACTCGACTTGGGGCTCTTCTGCACTCTACGCTGCAGACTGGACAGCAGCCTCCGCCAGTAGAATTCCACCTCCAGTTTCGTCACCGACTCCATCACCATGAACCCTCTGACGCATGTTCACTCCGGCAACGTTCACAGTAACGTATGGCTAAACCCGCTGGTTTAAACTACGTCTACACCACGCTACATTTCTCCCCAAAATTTACTGAAGCGTGCCAAGGAACTGCCATCATCGTGACAAGCTCTCTCTACACAAGTTTTGTTGCAACACACTATGGAACCTAACGGCCTCCCAACGATTGCCACCTTGTTGATTGCACTCGCTACAGCCAAGAGTGTGTCTTCGTGGGGACCCTCGCCTGCAGCGCCATTCCCAGAGCCACTCGCCGGAGACCCACTCGTTCTCTATAGACTATTCACGTTGATGAACTGGACAGTTAATGGGACGTTTTGTGTCGCGCCTCCACCCTTCATGCATAGTTCATGCCCCATAGTTCATTCCGGGTTCACTTCTGTGAGGGGCGAGTATTCCTAGCGCCTTCGTCCTCATCACTCATCGTCATTATCGTTTATTGGTAGGAGCGTTGCGCCACTCGATCTACTTATGCTGGGAGGTCGAGGCGCGCGCTGAAGATGAACGTGCCCTCGCGCCTAGCGAATAGGCGCAGGCAGCCATTGCCGCTCTGATTTTATTCTGGAGAATAAAGTGGCTAGTTTCCACGCGTCTCTCTGCTTCTCGATAGAAAACGAACCACACATAACATCCAATTTTATACTCCTTATTTTTTGTTGTGCACTATGAGTAAAACCATGCAGCAAACAACTAAGACCTAGTTATCGAACTCACAGCAAACTGGGTTCCCGCGCGGTCTACTCGTGACATCAATGAACTACAACCAAATTTTCACAGATATAAAATTATAATTACCGTCTCAGTGAAGACGTCGTAGCCGTCATTTGACCCCATGCCTTGCGAATTTGCCCTTATGCTAGGATATCAATTGCGACAAGATAGCCCAAAAGTATTTCAAGACATGTTATTCCAAGAAGTCAAAACTAACGTGGTTGAAAGAATCCATACTTCTTTGGTTGCAAATGATAGCGGCACTGCGGCATCTCTCAAAACAACTGCGTACTTTGTGGCGCAATAATTATTCATATCCTAGACACGGCGCAGTTTAATCAAAGTTTTAGTGTCCTTCCACTTGCCTTCATGACGTCAGAACTCGGAAAAGAACAGATGTCATCCAGGGTAGCCTCCTCTTCCGGACATAGTATACCGAAGCGTCGTGGCTCGTATTTAAAACCAAAGGTGTACAAGTCGAAGCGTCCCTTTCTCCTGCACAGTGATACTGGCAGTCTCAGAAGCAGCCATTTGCAGAAGTATGAGAAGCCTGCGTAAAATAAACAAAAAAAGAACTTTATGGGGGGCGCGCCCTTGGAGCCATTTTTCTGGAAAAGCTGAAAACACACTGTTATAACCTCCCATATATGAATAAATGTTGTATGTAAAGAGCGCGCCGTCAGTGCAGCAAATAGCTTGGCCACATGTGACTCAGCGCCCAAGGCCACGCGCTACGCAGAGACGTCGTGCGCTCGACTCCGCAAGACGGAAAACCAATTGAATGCGAATGCATTAATTAGCCTGGCTATGAGGGCACCCGATGGTAACCACTCTTACACAGGAGATACATACACGATATCTTTTTTAGTTGGACCCAAAGCGAGAATGAACTTCTCAGCGTTATCGACACTTACAACGCTGTACATCCGAATATACACTTCACACACGCCTACTCACAGGTTACCGAAAGTTTTCTTGATGTTACCATAACAATAAAAGAAGACAAGCTTTCTATAACCCTATACCGCGAGCCAACGGATCGAAAACAGTACCTTCATTACCAAAGCGATCGCCCGCGCCAGAGTAAGAATAGTTTTCCATACAGCCACGTTCACCGGTTTGGGCGAACCTGCTCAATAGACGCTGATTTTGACACGAACACACAGAGGCTAAAACGTAAGCTTTATAAAAAATTCCCCTTATAAGTAATTTTCAGAAAGCTAGAATACTGAAGCGTGATGACTTACTTAAAAAGCGACCACCACAAAAAAAAAAACTTGCAACGAGCAAACGTCTCCCTAACTTACAGCACAAACTTCCCCAATGTAAACAAAATCCTTAAACGACATTGCAACATTCTGGAAGAAAGTGAACATCTGAAACGCGCATTCCCATTCGCTCTTGGCCTCACTTACCGACGACCATGCAAACTCAAAGACACACTTTTCGACTCTCAAACAAATACTTCGCCCCTTAATAATTTATGCCGACCGTGTTCAAAGTCCCAATGTCTTGCGCATTAGGCGACGCGAAAAACAGACAATGTAACCAGCACACAACCCAAGTTGTCGATGCGCATACGTGGAAACCTGACATGCGACTCCTCCATTGTGGTATACCTGCTCAAATGCAACGTGTCCAGTATGCAGTACTTCGAACATACAAAAACACCGTTTAGGATTTGTTTCTATTATCACGGAGCCCATCCAAATTAAGCCCCAAGTCGACATGTATCAAAACATTTGAACCTTCTTGACCTTGAATTCGACAAACTACAAGTAACACTCTTAGAAACGGAATTTAAACCAAACCGCAAACGCGAACGATGAGAGTCATACCTCATCCACCAGTTTAACGCCGTTGATAAAGGATTGAACTGGAATCCAGGTACACTTGCAGCAATTAAAAGATTAGAAAACAATAACGGCAACAATGACAATAACAAATGAGTTCACGGCACTGCAGCTGCGACGGTCACTGGACAATTGATAATACCTGTAGGAGTAACTACTTTTCCTGATTACAGCGGTGGTCTGTTTTCATTTGTACCTTACTATTCAATCAATTGTGCCAAGCATAATACGTCCAACAGCTACGCTGTGCACAATCAGGTGGCTCCTACTGAATTCAGGATTAAGCCAGAATTAACATTGCACCCGTTTGCGAGTCTTGCGGCAATGCA